GCTACGAAAAATATAATTCATTATCGTCATTTTGAACCCTCCCCTCATTGATGAAGTAAAATTTTTTCTTTTGTCCCCCTTCCTGTCTTGGCCGATTCTCCATTACCCATACTCATGAGTAGTTTTGCCGTGACATTTCTCCCCCTTGCATATAAGTGGTCAGTGGACCCACCCCTTGATACAGAAGTGAAATAGATTTATCTCAGAGGTAGTGAGCCTCCCTCGTACTTAAATGTGATGCAGCAGCATTGAACTATGTCAACTAATCTCCCCAAACTTCTATACTTAAACATACCTCTTCCTCACACATTTACCAACGATTAGTCTAGAGAGAATGTCTGAGGATGTCAATTCAGTAACGAAGAGTGTGGTCCATTCACCAGCCCAAAACCCAAAGAGGCCATGGTCCAAGGACAGGAATTTCACTACTCTGAAGATATCCTCCAGTTTATGTTGGGCAGATTTCGTTAGTAAAAAAAAAAAAAATAAATAAATAGAAAAAATCAGGCCAATAATAACAAATCAAGCTCTACAAGTTACATTGTCTCCGTAGCAGCTTGAGCCCCGTGTCCAGTGTACATATGAGCCCAGTTCATCTTCATCACAAGCAGTGAAGAAAAATACAGCTGGGATACCAGAATCAACATCACTCCCCTCTCTCTCTCCACCTCTTGGGTGGAAGGTGCTTTCAACACAAATTGTACTAGTCAACAAAATCTTGAAGATTACGATAGCATTGGTATTTAGTTGGATTTTACCCGTAAGGTCATGAGGTGTTGTACTTCAGTGTACTCATGTTGCGTTTATCTTTCTCATTCACGATGAATCATTGTCAGTGATAAACTATCTAGTAATGATTATCTATTATTATAAAGCTTGGTAGAGTTGTTTGTTAGATAAAGTGTAAACGAGTGCCTAAATCATTTCAATCACAGGCTCAGTGAAGGAGTTCAATTGTAATTTAACCTAGAAGATGAGCTCTGTAATTCCATTTATTGATTAAAGATTGATAAGTAATTCCTTTGAACGTACACATTGAGTACTGTAAAAACTTATTTGGATTGTAAGTACAAAGGCGTTACTTTCATTTGGAATTGTTACGAAGAACAATACGATGGCTATTTACTGCAATTGTTACTGACCATAAGCTCGTCAACAGAATAATGATACCAACGAGATGTACATCACAATGCAATGGAATTACAACTGGGGATCCCTTACGACAAATGTCATTTTCCGATAGAGTTTACTTTTGTCTACTGGCATTCGCAATTATAGGGGAATTTTCATAGCACTGATAATTTTGGACTGTAAAATGCGTCAAATAGTGCATGATACCCTCAATGACGCCTCTTACGAATGTATGTAAATACATACACAAACACGAACCCCGAGCCATTAACATTCCTACTGATATCACAAACTGGTTTCCAACCCAAAGAGATGCACTCGCGTAAACACTTTGCTCGTTCACCCGGTGCTGAAACTCGAATGCCGTAGCAGTGGTAAAGCTCGCTTTAGTACGCAAAAAGAGAGAGAGATGTATATACGAAGACAAGGACTAGCGGTGGTAACTGGGATAGAGAAGACAAGGGAGCGCAAGAGAGGAATAGTGACTACAAGCGGGCTGTTACAATAGTACGGTTATTGCACGCATGCTCACGTTCGCCCATCACAGCAGTCTCTCGCCGAAATGGTCGGTGTGTAGGTACTTGCGACACGATTCAATGCAAAAACGTCAGCACATGTGCTTGTACATAGAGTAGTTGGGACATTTACGTACATTAACGTACGTGTAAGTATATAACTCGGACACGCGAACTTACAAAGGAAGGTCGCGCTAACGACTTTTCACGAGCGCACATCATAAACGTGGATGAAATCAGCGTAAGTCACGTAGGTACACGTAGACAGAGTTGTACGGCAGGGGGGGGGGGTAACTAAGTTCGGGAGTACGAGAAACTGGTGTGTATGTGTATGTGCAGAATCGTCTGCTTCTGAAATTCGCCTTGTATATAGGACTCTATGCTGGATAAAATATATAGATTGAGGACGAATAGATACTTGGCCCGGGGAAATTTCGTACCTCCCTAGAGAGCCTGTCGGTCGATTCGTGGTGGAACAATCGGCACCCGTATAACTGTGGGTGGTGATTCTACCTCTTTGTACGTCTTTGCGCGGGTATACATCTATGCTACGTGTTACACGACAACTTCAATCGTGGTAAGGAAATGTGTACATGTATACAAGGGGATACATCTAACGGCAACTGTTTCTTCATTTCTTGAGAAGTTCCGAGATAGTGGAAGCCACACGGGTGATATTGCAAGGGTTGGTAGGAAAGTTCTTGAAAGTTCGTACGGTAATAGTTGCTCAAATACTGTAAACAAGTGCAAGTATGGATTATCTTAGCAAAACCTAGTCAAGGTCGACTTTGTCAATTTGGAATTACAGTTGTTCACGTTGTTTGTGAAAGTGGACATCTTTTTCGACACGACAAAAATGTAGACAGCCCTTTTATTCTACTTAATAGCTATTATGTTTTGATGCTCTTTATTATTTGAATTTTCTTCGGGTAGAATCACTGAAATAGAAGCCGAACTGTGTACTTTTATTATGAAAACGTTGTTCACACACCAATTCTGGAGACAAAACCTAGAAATTACAATAAGTTGCAAAACTTCGTAAGATCAGTAGTGTAGTGAAGCAACAGTAAAATCAAGGATTTAAGCTTATCTATTGAAACGGTATATTTAATACTTGTGGTAAAAACCATTAATCAATTGATGGTTAATATTAAATATGTACAAGTATCTTCAAGACTGTAAACAAATGATAATTTTGTGTAGCCAGTTTTAATCAACTAGATCGATGTAACGTCCAAACAAATATTTTCCACTGTCGAAGATGTCTATACTAATTGAAACCGTAAATTAGGAATTAGAATTTCACCCAACATATTTTTACAGAAAACTGCCAGCAGAATATTGCAAAACTGCAGGTCGTATCGCACGAATGTCAGAGTCAACAGCGCAAAAATAATACGCGATCTTAAAAGGAATTGGCTGTGACATGGTGGAAACAATTCTCTCTTTTATGAAATTTCTCAACGAAATAAAGTGCCTATGGTTCGTTTACAAAGAATGGAAAAGAGGGGTATAGTTTGAGATGTACTAGGACCTAGAGATAAAAAAAAGGGGTGGGAAAGACCTGGAAATGAACGAGTCACTTTGAGATTTTCTTAGTCAGTCAAAGGTTGGTAGGAAAAGGGAGAATGGGACGCAGGGGAAAAAAGCGTGTGTATTTATCTACTGACGCACGAGTGAGATTTAGCTGGACGTTCGTGTAAAGACGTGCGCATGGGTGGGTCGTAGTGACTTTGGCACAGAAACTCGTTCTCGCTACTACCACTTTGTCAGAGTTTTTTTTTTCTCTCTATTTTTTAAGCCAACTGTACTTTTACATTCTCTTTGCTGTTTGCAAAAAATTAATACTTTTTAAAAATGTCTCTCCCCCCTTTGTCTCATGACTAAACAAAAAGATAAATGTGGGTGTATTCTGCTACTTCACGCTTTATTATATTTCTTAGGCTCGAGATGCAGTTGTTGATCCTTTGGATGATTGGAACTATTTTTTAAAGAAAGTTGGTGACTAAGGTGATTTGACAATGAATCTGGATTCCTTCGAACGTAACCAAATTTGACACGGATGTAGTTCTAAAAGCATAGGCAATTAAGATTGCGTTTACAGGGAAACATAGGAACGGTAAATAGCTACAAGGAGGCCGTCAGAAAGAGTATCGCACAGTAGTCGGAGGGAAGAGGATTTCTAGGGCTATTTCACATGTAAACAATTTCAGCTCTCACTCACGGGTATACAAGTTTTCTTTTCTTCTGCTTTTATCTTCATTTCACTCTGGAATTTTTGTTGTTGTCATATTTTGGGAGTATATAATGCTACATACATGATTGTGATGTCGAGCTTCGCCCAGATGCGTAAGTGCCCCTCCTCTCATCCTTTTGAGAGCGAGCTGGCCTCCAAAATTCTCCGTTATTTTCCTTCTTCTTTCTCCTCTTATGCCCTTTTGTCTTCTAGGGGAGTGGTCCTCACGTACCTGTCGCATGCGGGGAGGTTAGTTTTTAGTCGGTAGGCACACCGGGTGAATCCGACACTACCACCGGATTAGCTGGGGTGTCTATGAAGATTTCCCCTCCCCGCTCCATCAAACAAAAAAAAAAACAAAAAAAAAAAAAAAATGTTTGTGATGTACAGTGTTACCCGAGTATATAGATGTACAGCAAGTAGCGACAAGAGCATCTGACGCCCTAAGGCTAATAATCAAATTGTCATACTAAACCCTTTTTTTCCATTTATCAACGTTTTGTGGAATGGAAATTTTCTATGATTATTGCTAGGAATGGATGAGGCTGAGTTTGGATCACTTTCTATTTACCAAAGGTGAAATTTTTATAGAACTCTTAATTAAGCTAATAATAAGTTCCATACACACTTTTTACATGATAAATTATTCAATAAAGTCGTCTAACTTCAATTAAAATGTAATGTAATTAACGGTTTTGATAAGTTCGAATTAATAGATAATTGATAGAAGCAGTAAGAATAGAAGTTGAGCGATGAAATAAAATATAGTTTAAAAATAATGCATCCATGCTAATATTACTCTTTTGATAAGATTAATAGAAAAATCGAAGATTTGTGACGGTTAGAGTATTAAATATTTATACAAATAAGTATTAAATAATAATAGTGTTGGTGGATAAAGTATATTACACTGAACTAAAGTTGTTATAGTACTCAACTAAACATTCATAGATTTGAACTTGACATTTGAACATTTGAACTTGACATTTAAATACTTCATTTTTACGGTACTTTCTAATTGTAGATACTAATAATCACCAAAACGTTCATTAAAATAATTAATGACTGGTTTTTGATGTATAGTTATGAATAATTTTCTATTTATTTTGTTGTTGTAGGTAAACCTTTCTACATCTTGTATAGTTTCTACGAGCAAAATTAAGTAAGTCATTTGAAATAACTTGAATAGTACATCTTATTCAAGAATTTTTTATTTTACTTATTTATTTTAGTCAATATTGTTATATTTGTTTAAAAAGTTACATTAGAGTAAAAATTATTTTCAAATAATAAAAAACAAATTCTTATTTATGTACGACGACAAGTTCAAACTTGTTAGACTCATGAATAACTCCAGCTCGGTTTTTGTCACCTTTGGAATTAAATTCGTTTCGAACAAATCATGAAAGGATATCAATGACATGAAATTTTATCTTTCGTGCTCCATACCTCGCATGCTGCAGGGACGCAAAAAAGCTCGCACATACTCTTTAATCAAATATCATAGCAAGTGCTTCAGTACGAGACCAATGTTGTCACACATCGTGACTATCGCGAGGTCAATAACATTCTTCGATCAAGTCATAATAATACGATGTGAGTAGACTTTGAGTTCAAAAAGTTGTGTCCTCCTGCTTTTTCTATTATTTGGAGCCGCGAAATAAATGGGTCTGCTGTTAGCCAAGTTTGACGTAGCTACGTGACAGGAAAACCTTTTTGTCCCTCTAATCGAGCCACTTTTTTCTTGACCATTTCGAAGACCACCCGAAGAGCGACTGGCCTAGTCACATTGTGTCCATAAAACTGACTTCCGGATCGAAGGGCGAAAGTTTTCTCGCAGCAGAGCCAATTCAATAATTTCACGTCCAATGTCGCTACAAACTTATATGTATTGACTGGGTGGTCAATTGGTACATCAGACGTTGTTTCTTCACTATTGTTGTTGATTAACTCGTTTGTAGCAGTTATTCGAGTCTCAAGGGATTACTGACATCGAACAAACTTTATACTTTGCTAGACGATATCATAGGGGATGTTCAGGTTAGCTAATCATATTATGTACGTGAAGTTTGATCCCACTTTATGTATTAATGATACTTATGTGCTTACGCGTCGCGGAAATTTTAACAGAAAAAATTGGTGGGAGACAAAATGAACTGTAACAACCACTTGGAACATCTATCTGATTAATAGGAATTGGACGAAAATAGGAAAATGTTAATACTTGAAACTTAAGTTATTTTATTTGGCAAACACTTGCGTATTTTATTGCCTCCAATCAAATCTCATTTCATTTTTATCTCCAAAGTGTAATATTAAAATAAAATTTTTTTTAATATGATTATCTTTAATACAAAGTTCTGGTCATAACTTGGACTTATGCTTTGATTATTAAAACAATGTACAATTCAATGGTCAAAGTAGGATGAAAGTTATTTTTGTGTTGTAATAACTTCTTCATGAGATTTTATGTGTAAGCAATCAACTTTGTAACTAAATTTCTCATAAATCGAATTAATAACCTAAATAGGGAACAAACCCTTCATTTAGGCATATTTATTCATATCTGGTGATCATAAGACTGTTACCGTAAAAGACGATTCATTTTCTTACATCCCAAAACCTTAATGATCTTCTTGTTTCATTCTCCTTCTATATTTTTCCAGATAAGTCACACGCATTTCAGTGCAGGAAGTTCTCAGATTATACACCATAAAAATTTTACGTTTTATGAAACCAAGACAACATTAAATTTTTCCGTATTTAACCCAAATCTTAAGGAGGTTCGGTAGTGATAATTTTTTATGATGAAAATTTTTGAAATTTCGATATGTCGTTTGGGATAATTACAGCTAAATTTTTGAAGGGTTTAACCACACCGTTTTCAAGATATATTGACCTGAAAAAACAATATTTTAAAATGTAGGCTTATGGAGAAATCACTTAAATTTCACATAAAAAAAAAACGGCTAAATGAACTTGCTTTTTTTTTTTTTAA